AGAAAGAAAGAAAGAAAGAAAGAAAGAAAGAAAGAAAGAAAGAAAGAAAGAAAGAAAGGAGAGAAAGAAAGAAAGAAAGAAAGGAGAGAAAGAGAAAAAAAGAGAGAGAAAGAAGAAAGAGAGAAAGAGGGAGAGAGAGAAAGAAAGAAAGGAGGGGAAGGGAATGGGAGGGGAGAGGGAGGAAAAGGGGAGGGAAAGAGAGGGGGGAAAAGAAAAAGAAAAATACTGGTTGCAGTGGTGTGTACCTGTAATCCCAGCACTGGAGAGGTGGAAGCAGGAGGATCCCTGCTTGCTGGCAGCCAGTCTAGCCATATCAGTGAGCTCTATTCTCAGTGAGAGACTGTTTCAAAAGTAAGGTGGGAATGATTGAGAAAGAACCCAAAGTCAATCGGTGGCCTCCACATGTGTACATGTATACACACACAGATGTGTGTGTACATGCACGCACACATGCACACAGGAATACACACAGAGACAGACAGACACAGGGAGACCTAAAGAAACTTTCTCTGGACTAATCAAAAGAACCCAAGAATCTGGAATTGGTTCAGGGATGAAGGGAGCTCTCTGGCTGGGGATGTAGGCTGGGGGATGTGAATGTCGCAGGAGCCTGGCCTCTCTGAACCAAAGCGGACACTTTTAGAAGGTAATATGCCTGGTTTCTCCTATGATCAAAGGCTGACATTTACGAATGCCAAGCTGTTAAGAAATAAAGGTCTCAGAGGAGAAGCGTCAAATGTGTGGGTGAGGTGTCATTCCCAAGACATGGCAAGAAGGAAGCTTCAAAACCAACCTCTTGCCTGCTGCAGCCCTCCCCCCGCCCCTGAGAGTGAACTGTGTGGCACACAGGCCCTTCTCCAAAGGGAGGGCCACTCTGGGTGCCAGTCACAATCGGTCACGGGCCTGGTCCCCTAAGGTCCCTGGAGGTCGATAGAGCCAAAATGCTCCCTGGCTTAAACAGCTGCCTGGAGAGTGATGGAGTCACCGTGAGATCCTCCCAGTCAGGAATCCAGCTCTTCCCAACAAGACCAGCAAAGACTGCAATGTGGAGCTAAAGAAGACTCTTCCCTACTTTCCCAGCCCCAAATCTGCCTGAAAGAGATGAGGAAATCAGAGTAGCACTTGTTTAGGAATGGGAGCATAAACAACTCAAGTCCCTACCCTCCCAGGCTTTGTTCCACTCCAAGTAGATGAGTGATCTAATTTGTGAACTCAGGGAGCACCCCTAACTACCAGGACACAACACTACTCTGGGCTCTGGACTATTTTCCTCAATAAAGTAGGTTATGAAGTGGTCAAAAGATCCTGGATGGACACACACACACACACACACACACACACACACACACGCCACAGTGAACAGTCCCTAGGTTTAGTTTTCAGATCTAGCCAGATATACATGTGGGTGCCAGGCTGGTGTGGGGGTCCAGCTGGGCTCATCTGCTGGCTTCCCAGTTACAAGAATACAGGCTAGAGAAGGTTTATAAGGTCTGAAGAGAAAGCTGTATGTATAGACTGCAGACTTCAGGACAGAGGGGTGAGCCCACCCTAAAATCTTCTACAAAGAGCCTGGCGGCAAGAAAGCTCGAGAGGGAGTTACATAATCTGCATGAGAAGACCCAGGGAAGACTAAATCTGTTCATTTCATCCAAACGCCTCTCGGAAAGCTTTGCAAAGCTTCGGCAAACACCTTTTTCTATGTGTGTGCTGGTAAAACAGTTGCTGTGTTGGGGCTGGAGAGACAGCTCCACACTGAAAAGCACTGGCTGCTCTTCCAGAGGACCAGGGTTTGATTCCCAGCACCCACATGATGCTCACAACCCTTTGTAACTCTAGTATCAGGGGATCTCTTGCCCTTTTTTGGTCTCCACAGGCCATATTCTCACATGGGGAACATCCACACCACAGACAAAACATCCATACCCGTAATTGGTTTTTACAGCTCTTGCTGTATCTTATCTAGGACAGGAGGAGAGAAGGGTAGAGGCAGTGTTCCAACTGCCCCCTAGAGGACGAGGTTTCGGCCTTTGAATTCCTGGTGCCACAAAGCAGAGCAGGAAGGGGGTAACCAAGGTTGGAGCACAGCATCTCAAAATGCTTCTTTCTCACTTTCCTCTGTTCACTCTTTTCCTGGAGCGGATGCTTACGAGCACTGATTCCATTCCCTCCTCCTGTGGATGAAACTGGAGCCTGTCCTTAGCCGCGTGCCTTACTCTGCCCTATAACTGGTTCTCATGGCAGAAACCTGGGGGGAGGGGGGTCATCCAGTGTCAGCATCTCTGCAGATCAGGTGGAGGAGCCAGGCAGGCTCTGCACAGAGGCTCACAACCACCAACTGAGGCCGTAAAGAACAGAAAGTGAAATTTTGAGACTATGGCCCTGGACCATACCTCCAGCACAGTTGATCAAAAGGTCTATAATTACATTTACTGAATGCCCCCATCAGATACCTGACTCCTTTGCCAACTTCTCAATGAGACAGAACCCAAGCCAGTTTCTGCTGTAGCTGAGATCCCCAAATCTCCTCCCCACCATGGTATAAGCATTCCCCACTTGTGTTGGCAGGAAGTCATGGATCTTCTGCTATCTGATTCCATGTTCTTCCTGAAGCCATATTTTGACAGACTGTTCACCAATTTCCAACAGGAGCAATGTCAGTTGTTTCATAGTTTGAATACAAAATGCCCCCTCAGGATTATGCCAATATTTTGGTAACTCCTGGAACTTTAAGAGATAAAGCCTAGGGCAGACCTGGGTGAGAGTAAGGGTGTATCTCATTCTGTATCTTGTCCTGGAGAGCATACCCTCTCCTCTCTCCTTCTCCCCCACCTTCTCTGACCGTTAGCATCTGTTCCACCATGATGCTCCATGTCACAGAAATAATGGGGCCAGCTGACCTCTAACCCCTGAGGCAAAGTTCACCTTCCCTCCTTTTAAGTTGTTCTCTCGGCTATCTGTCACAGTGCATAAGTGTGCCAAATTCAGGGTTTAAGCACTGTCAAAGCCATCAGGCAGTGTCCAGGTTTGCAGACCTACTATGTTTGGAAAGAATTAGAGGGGTCTGGTCATGTTTACTCAAAGCCACAATGATATCTCGGGGTGGGACAGGAAATCCAGCCATTCCCAACCATGAAAGAAGACAGAGATGGCTGTGAAGGCTGAGCGATGAAAGGTGGACATGGAGTTGGTGACCAAGAGGTATCAGAACTGTGGACTGTGAAACCATGGCCTGCATAACTCTCAGAGGATGGAGGAAAGCCAAGGTGAGAGCTAAAAAGACACCTTACCTCAGCTTGTGTTATTAACAGGTTTCTCCCCCCGCCCCTAGAGATTACACCTAAGTTTGTTCTCACAGAAGTGCAGCACTAGCATTAGCCTGTGGGCCATACCTGTGGGTCAACTGGAGTTTGGGGGTTTTTTTGGGTTTTGTTTTTGTTTTTGTTTTTCACTTTATCTGGTCAATGAAAGAGAAACTGCTAGTCTGCATGGACATGGAAAAGACAAGGGAGACCCCTTCCAGGTCTGAATGTTGCCACCCCAAGAAGAGTAGGAAGATGGTCTGCTAGATGACACCATGAGCAGTGAGTCACCTCAGCTGGAAACCTGACAGGGTGAAGGCACGTGTACCATGGTAAGGAGTCAGCCCCAGCACCTCTGAGCTTCTGTCGCAATGTGCTGGGAAAATGGTGGCTCTAGCTATGGCCCTCACCATCATGGCTAAAGTCCTCAGCACCATGGCTGCCATGACCACAGGGATCTGTCTGAGGCAGGGAAGAAAGCAGCAGCTCAGGCACCTGGCACTGAGGCAGCCTGGACCACACTTGGCTGTTCATTGCTCGGGTCTCCTCTAATCTCAGTGGGAGGGGTTCAGAGGAGCACTTTTGGAGTCACAAAATTGTAAGTCCTAGGAACAGGATGGCAAGAAAGCCCCACCTCCAGGGTTAGCATCTACTCACCTGGAGGTCAACTCCTTAAGGTCACCTTCTAGCCATGACTCCAGGACCCCTGTGAAGCCCTAGGGTAAAAATTGGGCCTGACTTTTGCTAGAGGGGGACTAACCTACCACAAGCAGAGAACTTGTTGTTATCAAAGAACGGACAAACAGCTGAGTTTGTATGACAAAGAGGTTGTTTCTGAATTTTAACTGTTAGTGTAGAGAAAGCTCAGGACTCTTGGGCCAAATGTCAAGAGTCAGCACTGCTGAGCTAGCCTTTCCTCACAGAGAACTTGGTAACAAACAAACAAAACCACAGAAGCTCATTTGTGAAGGTCATGAGCATAGCAGGCGGGTGGGCAGTTGGCCTGACAAAGAAGCTGTGGCCTCAGCACTGGAAGCCCTGTAACAGGCCAGGGCCAGCATGGCAACATCTCCTGGATCTCTAAGGACTATGTGCTGCAAGGACCCCACACGTCTCCTAAAGACTGCAAATGAGTTAAGTGTGGCACTCTGCAACGAAACAGAGTAAATATGCCCAAATCTTTGGGCAATTTCAAGAAGAAAAACATGAACATGTGCCTCCAAAATACACACCCTATAAAGGGTAAAAGACGAAAAGATTAAAAGGCAAAATTCTACAGGGCATACCTCCCAGTCCTTAGCAGTTTGAGGGACAAGAGAAATTTCAAACTGGCTTCTAGAGCTGAGAGGATTCGTTCCCAGGATTTAATGAGTTGTCAGCTTTGCAAGTCACTCTCCCACACCTTACCATTGCCTTTTTTTGTTTGACCTGACTGAAGACACAAGGCCTTGATGTACCTTTAATAAACCATTGTAAGGACAACTGGAGAATAAATTAAAATCCTGATTTCCTGCACGCATGTGCAGTTTTAACAAATGTGTCCAAGCTAAAGCCTGGCTCCCAACTATCAGGTCCCAAAGGACTAACTGTGGTACCTGTTAGCATACAGAGTGTGTGCTGGCCTCAGGCACTTTCAGCACTGAAAAGTACCTGTTAAAGAATCTATCCAGTCCATGCAGCTGACATCCCGGCTCCTCTCAGCTCTTCTCAGCCTCGTATCCTCACCCTAAACCTCCCTCTGAGGCCGGTGGCTTCGCTTTCCTTGCCCTGCTTCTTTCCTATATAATCCAGTCATGTTGACCACGCTGTCTCTTGGTTCTTCTATCTCTCTCTTGGTCCACTGGCCCTCTGCCCCCCCCTCTCTCTCTAGCTTTCCCCTCTCTTTCTTCTCAAGGCCCAGACTCTTCCAGATGCCTCTGGCTGTACTCTTCCCTCACCTCCACAATAAAATCTTTCTCTTCACCCAGCCTTGGAGTAGTCATGTCCTCATTATTACTCAATGATGACATCACTGAGCCAGGCTGGGGATGGGGCTTAGGAGGCAGGGGTGGGCCCACCAAGAATGCCTGGCGAGCAAGGCGAAGAAGGGAGGCCCCAGCCTGCTGCCAGGAGTTCCTGTCCCCTTTAGTTCAGTTTCACTTTACTTCTTGGGACACATTAAAAAGAGCTGGTGACAGGAAACACCACACCACAACACCATTGCTCCTGAAGGGCATGACCCTAGACCTTCACAGCCCCCAAGTTCACAAGCATCAGTGTGAAGCAGTCAACATGCAGGCCAGGCTTTATATTCCTGCTGTTCGCTATGATGGGTAAAAGCCCAGCCACCCCAGAGAGTGCCACTCAGGCTCAGCAAAACTACCATATAAGCACCAGACCATGAGTGCTGTGGCCTGAAATACAAAGGCTGGCCACCTGGGCCATCTTCTGTGACAAGGCCACCTCCAGAGAGAAGAAAGCCCCTCCAGGGCTAGGGCGGCAGGCAGGGATTCTTGACTGTCAGTGACTCTTCCTAAGGCAGGAAGGGACAGTTACAGAACATTCTAGAAACTCCCATGACAAGGTTAGAGATTTTCTGCATGCCAGTCATGCTCACAACAGTGGTCTACGCGAGTACGGGAAAGTCTTCCGTTTGGTTTAAATACTTACATCATTTTCTAAAAAATTAAACATGCTTCTTTCGGCCAACTCCTTTGAGTCTTCAAACTTTTCTACTGCTTGTTTGATCTCCTCGTCGGGAATCTTACCTACTCGCCTCTTTTTATAATCATAATCCAGGCGGCGGCCTTCCAGCTTTCTCAAATGGTGCTGAAAAGAGAAAGGAGATCCTCACTACTGCTGAGATGCACAGTGCCATGTGCTCTCATGTGGATACCTCCTCTTCTATGAAAACGCTCATCACTTCTTCTCCGCCTAAATTCTACCTTTTGCTGTTTGAGAATTTCACACACGTATACGTGCTTTCATCAAAGCCATGTCCCATTCTCTTCCCTTTAACTTCCCCTCTCCTCCCCACAGGAAGAAGCCAGCACGAACATGAAGGAAGAAAGTTATGTGAAGGAAGGATGATAGGTCTCAGTAGAGCCAGAGGGAGAGACCTGGGCCCACTGGGGACGTGGCTGTCACAGAAATGGGACATGCTTTTCCCTGACTGGAAGGAAGGGGTTACACAGGTGAAGGGATTCAGGGGTGTCCAGATAAGGAGTCCAAAAAGCAGTCTTTCTTTCTCCCTCAGCCTTCCTTGACCCTTCCCTCATACTCTTTGCTTTCAGAATAAACTTTAAATATAGATAAAGGCATCTGGGGTTCTCTGGGATGCCCAGCCTTCCCTTCCTCCATACTTCCCTGGTCTTCACTCTGTGTTCTGGACTCCTGGGAATCACAGCCCAGGCTCTTCAGCCAGATGTGCCGGTTATCTCCCCATCCCAGTCTTTCTGGGCAGTTCCCCCCTCACCCAGATCTGCTGAGGATGACACCCTCCTCAGGTGTCCCTGGTCATCATCTTTAACGGCTGGCTGTCTCTCCACCCCAGGTCCGTGTGCTTCAAGAGGGCACACAGTTCATCTGCTCATTACATAGCCCATACTCTCCTTAACTCATAATCACAGTGCCTACACTGTTAAGACTCTCTGGGCCTGGGGGCACTAAAGAGATGGCTCAGTGGTTAAGAGCACTGACTGTTCTTCCAGAGGACCCAGGTTCAATTCCCAGCACCCACATGGCAGCTCACAACTATCTGTAACTCCAAGATCTGACACCCTCACACTGACATACATGAAGGCAAAACACCAGTGCACATAAAAGAAAAATAAAAGACACAATTTAAAAATAAAGAAATTAAAAAAAAAAAAGACTCTCTGGGCCTGAAGAGAAGAAAAGAAGCCCAGGGTTCAAATGAAATGGGTGTCAATCAAGTTTGAAAGCAAGAAGTTATTCTCTACAACCCCACAAGAGGGCACCTGGACCTTCAGAGCAAAAGTCTGGCAGCCTGGAATTCTTGGAGCCAGTTTTACACATCTGCAAAAGCAGCCAGGCTGAACGGGACCTGAAAGTTCCCAGGGACACTCTGGACAACTACTTCTTGCAGGTTTCCAGATGAAAACTGTCAGTTTCTGGATGATTTTCTCCAGCAAGAATGGAAAATATTGCCCACGAATGCAATGGATCCAAGCTTCCTACTGATATGGTGTGATATTAACAATCATAACTACACCCCAAAGAATGGAGTCATTGTGAAAGTGACAGCTGGAATTTGGGCCTCCACTCTCCATGCCCCTGTCTATCTACCAGAGCAAATGGACCCCAGTACTCTGCCCCAAGGGGTTATATAATACAGTAACCGAGTTCAGTTTTCACCCCTCAAATGAGAACGTGTGGTCGCAGAGTCCATGGTTTTAGGGCTCTGTTTCATTATGAGCAGTGCCGGGAACAGGACAGGCGGGAAGACTCACCCCAATCTCTTTTAAATCTTTGTCTTGCAGTAGCTGCAGCGGGTCAATAAAAGTTTGCTTCACATTAATATCCAGGGAGTCTTTCACCTCAGCCATAAGCTTCATAGCCTCACCAACGTCTACCAGTGCATTGCCTTCAACAAAGAACATAGAATAGCTCTAGGTTAACGGTGACACTAATTCTGTCTCCAAAACCCAAGGATTGTGGTACAGTAAAGTTTCACTCTAAGGCCTCTGCTTCCTGACGCAGAAAGTGAAATGGAGAAAGTCTCCCTGTTTTTTACATGTGTTTCTCTCTCCTGTCCTCTCACCTCCTCTTAAAGGTGAGAACGAGGACTAAAGCATTTCCCAGTTTGGCCATGAGATGGAGACCAAGTTCTTTCGCGGAAAATCGGGTTTGGAAACTGGCACCAAGGGTTCCTTACAAGTTCAGGGATAAACTCTCTTTGTAATAATGAAGGGATTCATTCATGGGGGTACATGTTAACCAACAGAGATTACAATGGAAATAGGGCCTCACTCAGCCTGCTGGTAGAGCAGCAAGAGGAGGTCAGAGCCCTCCGGAGTCAGGCATAACCTGCGGACAGGCAGGTGGGTGGACCTGCCCCTGCAAGGGTGCTTTCTGGATGTGGTCTGCACCTTTTCAGAGAATTATACTCTGGAATCTTACTGTAACTTACAAGGTCTTGGCCACCTAGTAACTTTGCAAGGTTGTACACAGTGAGGGTTGGATGTCTCTGGAAGATATCACTTGGGATACTGCCTGAGACTAAACTATTTTTTCCCCTTTATTTGGGATCTTCAAATCGATTTTGTAAAAAGATGTAAAAGAGTTCACTCAGTTCCTTAGATTGGAAGCCCGAAGGGGCCTAGGCCAAGCCAGACCTTTGCGTCAGTCAAGAGTATGGACAATTCACTCATGCACAAATCAGGGAGAGCCATGGCTGCCTCACCTCATCTTTAAAAGATGTAAATAACAGCTGGGTCCTTGCCAATTACAAGTGGAAACTACCTCTGGAATTAAGGTTGGCCAGGATGCCAGTCCTACCCTGAGTGTCACAGATCACAGGAGGAGAGGTTTTCTGAATTGAGCTGTCTAGAACTTGGTTCTGAAGAGCTTCTACATGGAGGAAGGAAGTCTCTCCCTAGCCTGGATACTCCTTCACGCCCTGACCCTGCCTCTCACTCTCACCAGCGCCCAAGTATCCCAGTAAGTAACAGAAACGTTTGAAATATGCCCCTTTCGGGACTGTGGAGATGTCCCATCAGTCAAATACTCGCTGTGTACATGTGAGGATCCGGGTCTGACCCCTGAAACCCATGTCATAAAATCAAGCACCAGGCGGGGTGGGGCATGCCTGTAATCCCCGCTCCATGCAATTGGAGACAATGGATCCCTGGGGATGTCTGGCCAGCCACTCCAGCAGAATCAACAAGCTCCCAGCTCAGTGAGAGGCCATGTCCCAAAAGATGGGGAGGAAAGAGACCAGTCAAGACTTCTGGCCTCCATACACACCTATGTACAGCCACACCTATAGACAAACACACAGACACACACCTATATACCCGTGTGTGTGCACACATACAGCCACACACTTGCGCACACACAACACCCCTCCTTCAAGAAGCCTGTGACATGTCCTGAGCACTGGCCGTCACCTTCCCACAGTCTACACTTAAGTGCCACTCTAAGAGTTGAATCCCACAGTGTGGCTTAGTTTCTGCCCTTTAGAAGCGTCTGGCACAGGGCCTCAAGCAACAGGAACAAAGCAAAGAGCCTCTGCAGACCCTCCCAGGGAACAGCAACCATCCACCTGTCCCAGAAGCCCAACGAATTCAGTTCCCTCCCTTGCCTTCTAATATCTAGCTCCTTCCTATATCTAGCTATCTGTTGTCACAGGCCTGTCATTCATGGCCAGGTACACAGCAACAATATCCTTCCATCCCAGAGCCTGCCTGCTACACTCATCTGCTTCCTCAACAGATGTAACTTCAGGGTAAGAAAAATAGGCCACCTTGTTCCCACTGGACATTGGAATAAAATAAAATCCACATTTACACTGCTCCGAAGGACGCTGTGGCCCTCTGTTGGGAATTAGATAATGCTGTCTTTGATTGGTGCGTTTTGAGATGGGGCCTCCCAGTCGCTTCAGGCTGGCCTCAACCTAATCATCCTCCTGCCTCCTTCTCCAAAATTCTGGGATTCTATGGAAATCTCAGCATGCCAGGCATGATGGTACGTGGTCTTAGCCCCAGCACTGGGGAAGTGGAGACAGACAGATCCCTGGGACTCCCTGGTCAATCCATCAATGTAGCCTAAGTGTTGGCAACCCCAGTTCCAGTGAGAGATCTTATCTCAGAACACAAGGTGGCAGCTCCTGAGGAACATCAAAGCTTTCTCTCTGGCCTACATACACACACACACGCACACGCGCATACACACACACACATTATATACACATTAAAAATAAAAACATTCTCTCTTATCTGCAGGATTTGCAGAACCTGAGAATGTGAGAGCAAGCAAAGAAGTGTGTGTATCAAAAGAAGGCACAGAGCCTGTCTACATAGGGAGTTGTAGGCCAGGCAGGACGCACGATGAGACCTTGTCTAAAAACAAAACAAGACCAGCCTGTCCAGATGGGTGGATGGAGAAAATGTGGTGCACATACACACTGGGATTTTATTGAGTTATAGAGGAAAGTGAAATCTGCAGAAAATTTGGTGGTGCTGGAAAATATTATAGTAAGGGAAATAAAAGTTTCAGAAAGACAAACATGCAGAAGCTAGATTTTTATTTTTATTATGTGTATGTGTGTGTTCTGTGTGTCTAGCAAGAGATAGCAATAGGTTTGGGTCATAAAACTGTAAAGAGGACCGTACGAGGAGGAAAAGAGATCTCAAGTATGGAGGGTGAAGGCAAGAATAGAATGCACAGTGCAGGAAAGCCCAGCATGGAAAGCACTGGAGGAGAGGGGCAGGGTGGGGAAAGGCTCGGGTGGGAGGAGAGAGAGACAACACAAACATGTCACAGTGTGTGGGGGAAAAGAGCCATGAAAGTAAATAGAGAGAGGGAGAGCCATACACATACATGTGTGCATGCTGTGTTTTAATATTTAAAGATGCATGGGAATAAGCAAAAGATACAAAGGCTACACAACCGTTTAATTGAGCCAACCCACGGAAATGGGAGAATTACTTATGCTAGAACTTCTCTTTATTTTCCTCTGCTTTCTAAAACCCCTGCAATGAGTATAGTACTCTGGCAATATGTAAAGATTGTCAGGTTGCAAAGATCCAGGCTCTGCGTACAACCAAAAGCCCACCCAGCGGTGCCCATCCACTGTGCCCGCTGAGACGGGATACCCACCAAAAGCAGAGTCTTCTCCAAGCTCCTTGCCATACTTCAGCATGCAGTCCCCCAGCAAGCCTTCCGTCTGTGGGTAGCCGGTGGCCTTCACCTGCCCTCGGAGTTTCGACATAGTGTTCAGCATTCCTAGCTTAGCTCTGTATGCTTAAAAACATTGTCATTTGTAATTCCTTAAAGTTACAAAGTGTAGTGACAGTCACACATCGCCTTTAACAAACACCACTACCAAACTGAGGTCCTCACGGACAGACACCAGAGACGGTTCAGCTTTGTTCTCTCACGTGGCTCTTCATAGTTTTTGCAGGGGGCAAGCGGGGACGGTAAGCACACTGGCACAGCCAAGTTGTGGACATTACAGACCATGTTGTCTCCAAATCACAGCAGCTATGAGGTTATGTTTCACAAGCACCCGTGATAAGGTACCCTGCAGTGCTTGGCAGTTTCAACACCTTGGGGCTGAACGCTGACACCTGTGCAGCCATTTTTGCTGGGGACAAATCCAAGTGAAGACTGGAGCTACCGAGGTAGCACCTGGTAAGCTACCAGTTGGTCAACACCCTCACTCTGCTCCCAGGAACTGACTCAAATGGAGGATTTGTAAGGTAAGGGAAGAGGTCTGGGCCATGCAGGTAGGAGGCAGAACACCACCAAAGTAAGCAGTCACCTGTGTGGCTTGCCTCTACCACGCTAGGTGCAGCTCAACTCTCTCTGGGGAGGGGGTGGGCAGCTGTGGCTTCTCCCCTTCTTTTCTGTCTCTGACTTAAGCACTGAGTATTTATTACCTCTGGCTTGGTGTTTTAAATGAAAGTAGCCCCCAACAGGCTCAGTAAGACGTTCCATTATTTGGTCCCCAGTTGGTGGAACTGTTTGGGAAGGACTGGGTGTGGCCTTGTGGGAGGAGGTATTCCTCTGTGGGTGGGCTTTGAGGCTTCCTGGGCCATTCCCAGTGTGTCCTCTGCCTCCTGCTTGCAGTTTTTGAGACGTGCGTTTTCAGCTGTTCCTGCTACCATGTCCTTGTCCACCAGTATGGATGCGACCCTCTGAAACCCCAAGCCAGCCCACTTAGGGACTTTCTCTTGTAGGTTGCCCTGCTTATGGTGTTTGTACCTAATGCATCCAGGCCACATGCTGTGCTGACCTGGGAACTGGAGAGCTCCCCAAAACACCTGCCCTTCCTGCACCTCACTGTGAATCCTTTGAGTGTCAGAACATAGTGTGACTGACTCTCATCAACTCTGTGGTGGTGCCAGGAAAAGGAGAGGATGCAAGAAGACTCCAAGATGTCCCTGAAAGCCTAGAAATGTCTGTCAGCAAAATATTGTGGGAGTCCCTACTGTGTAATCAGTGGACGCGGTGGGCTGGCTTGAGAGACTGGAAAGCATCTATGGGAAGTGGAGACTGTGACCTGAGCATGAAGCTGAGGATACGAGGCACTGCCTGTGGTACCAGGGTCATTTATATTTGATGTATTCTAGACACGTTCTTCTCAAGCCTGACTGTATGAGCAGGTAACTCGGTTGGTCTGGGGTAAGTTCGGGATTCTGTGTGTCCAGTCTCGGCTGGCTCTGCTGGGCCTCAGGCACACTCTGAGTAGCCTTTCCAGCCTTGCCAATATCAGCCTTAAAGACCTTATCCTCCAGACCTCCAAACCCAAAGGCACCACCCAGCCACATAAATTCAGCTGCACAAGCCACACACACACACACACACACACACACACACACACACACACACACCCCTTTCCCCACTGTCGGGCGGGTGTGCTGTGTATTGGTTTAAGGAGCATAGGACAGGACCAGAGGCTTCAAGTGCATCACTCCTCATCTCCGTGATAACCAGAGTCTCTGCCCTTTGCACACTTCCCCTAATGGCCAACTGCCCCTGATTCCATTCCAGTGTCAGCCCTTAGAGGGTGGAGTCTGCCTGACTCTGCATTCTGGCACCCAGAAGTGTCACATACAGGTAACACTTAGTGGATTTTTATAGGCTGATACATCGGGAAAGGAACTGGTCACTCCAGTCGTTGATGAGACTAGACAAAGCGCATGTCACTGCAAATTTTAGGCCTATTACATCACACGCCTTTGAGGCCCTTTATACTCCCTGTTCTCTACGGATGATCTGGCATGCTCTGAGACAGTCACTGAGTGTGGGTGTGGCTCTCTGATTCCTGTGGCTGAGGGATTCACAGGGACTCCCACAGAAAATCATACAAGGAAAGGCACAAAGCTTGGGCGCCCTCTGCTGGCTGTCCTCAGCCAGGGATGGCGGCCAGCGCGGAGCTGATGCTCTGCATCCACGTGGCTCCCACTGAGCATGTAATCACACCCCAACGTCAGCACTGGGGTCACAGTGAGACCCTTCAGGTTAATGTACAGGTCTATAAGAACAGGATAGAGGAATCTCTTGTCAATTAAGAAAAGACAACTAAGGAAACCTTTTTAAAGTGTGCAGTGGGTTTCTGAAGAACACTGGAATACAGAAACTATGCCCATGTAGGGATACCTTTACTGGGACCAGTACAGACAGTACATACTATCCTAACCACGTGCACCAAGATCCACCAAAGTGCCTGTTGTCCCCACCAACTAGGACTCCCTACAGCCAGACTGTCACCGGAGACTCCACTTTTAACAACTGAATTTCTGAATTTCATTATTTGGACAAAGGGACATGGCTTCCAAATTGTGTCAGCCTCGTGCAGAGAATTCAAGAGAATCTATGCCCACAATGCGCAGCGGAATGTTTCAAGACGTGCTCTGACATTACCTGGATTGGGCTGGAGGTATTCTGTGGCTTTTGAAAGAATTTCTGCAACAGCTTTACTGGTGATGTCTATTTTCTTTAAAACAAGACAAAACAGAAATGTTAGTTAAGACTCATTGAAGTCACAGAACCAATGACAGACATTTTCCATTAATTTAATTTCTAACACGACTGTGGTGATTTTTTAAATTTTCTTTTTATTTTGTGTGCATGGGTGCCTGTGTGATGGTATCAGATCTCCTGGAACTAGAGCTACAGACAGTTGCAAGCTGCCCTCTGGATGCTGGGAATTGAACCTGGGGCCTCTGGGAGAGCAACCAGTGTTCTTAACTGCTGAGCCACCTCTTTAGTCCTACTGTGATGCTTTTAACACAGATGTTTTCAGCATCTTAGGGAGAAGCGATCTCTTCTCTGTAGTTGACTCTGAAACATCACCGTTCTCGGTGATGTTAGAGAGTACTCGTTTCTTTTTCTTTATAATGTTAAAACGAAGGTGAATGAGCTAGAGATAATCATTACATTACTGCTCTACTCAACGCATAGAGACACTTGGAGAAGTCTCAATATTAAGATTAGACAAGAGACTTATTCTCATCTGCAGAGTGAACCTGAGTAGCCATGCTTATAGATGCTGTCATGATATAAGTCTCGTTAGAAGCTGCTCAAGTAGTAATAAGACAACCACCATCATTGGTATTATAACATAACACAGCCATCATGCCCGTCAGATGTTAACATCAGAGGTTTTTCCTGCCACATTAAGCCTGATTTTGTCCTTCTGCCATTCTACATTACTCATTTTCAATTAACATAAAATTAATAAAATATCCAGGAAAGCCCCAATACAGAGTTCATTCATTTTATTCTGTACCATCAATAACCCACAAAAAAAAAATTAAGGAAAAGGAGATGCCAGCCAGAAGAGCAATGCAAAAACTGTGTCCTAAAAAGAAATATATCTTACGAGAACAGACTATTTAAAAATGTAATTCTCTATGTAGGAAAATACAGTTTTAGAAAGGTCTAAACCTTCCCACAAATTAGCATATCAAATCTCATCACAATTATCAATTTTGGTTAAAACATGGTAAGTTGATATGACGGGTTAATTAAGATTGGCCCCTGTGAACACACCATTGCTGGTGGGAGTGCAAACTTGTAAAACCCCTTTGGAAAGCAATTTGGCAGTTTCTCAGAAAATTGGGACTAGCTCTACCCAGCTATACAACTCCTGAGCATATACCCAAAAAATATTGCACCATACCACAAAGACACTTACTCAACTATGTTCATAGCAGCTTTATTTGTAACAGCCAGAAACTGGAAACAACCTAGTCCCTCACCAGAAGACTAGATAAAGAAAATGTAATCTATACAATGGAATACTACTCAGCTATTAAAAATAAGGATATCTGGAAATTTGCAGGCAAATGGATGGAACTAGAAAATAACATCTTAATTGAGGTAACCCGGACCCAGAAAGACACACAAGGCCTGGGCTCTCACTCCTAAGTGGATATTAGCCATAAAGTACAGGGTAACCAGGCTACAATCCACAGACCCGAAGAAGCTAAGTAACAAGGAGGGTCGAGGGGAAATACTTGACTCTCACTCAGAAGGAGAAATAAAATGGACACATGAAGTAGATGGAGGGAGGGAATGGAGTGGAAGAAGGGGTGGGAGGTGAACAGGAGGCATCAAGTTCAGGGGAAACCGAGGGAGAGAGAGCTAGGAAAAAGAACTGAAAGCTGAAATTGGTGGTTGGGGGTGGGGGGAGAGGTCAAGGACACCACAAGAAAACTTACAGAATCAACTATGGGGACTCACAGAGACCAAACCACCAGACAAAGGCCATACACAGAATGGACAGAGGCCCCCTACACTTACGTAATAGCTGTGCACCTTGGTTTTCACATGGGTCTAACAACTGGAGTAGGGGCTGTCTCTGACTCTGTCGTCTGCCTTTGGATCCCCTTCCCTTGACTGGGCTGCCATGTCTAGACTCAGCAGGGGAAGATGCACCTAGTCCTACTGCCTCTTGATATGCCAAGGTGTGTTGGCATAGCCAGGATATGCCTTCTCTTAGGTGAAAGGGAAGGAGAAATGGAGGAGGGAAGGTAAGAGGGAGGAACAGAGAGGAGAGGAGGGAGAGGAAACTGTGATTGGAATGTTAATTAATTAATTTAAAAAGATATTGCTATTTTTTTTTTTTAAAAAAGAATGGCCCCATACGCTCATAGATTTGAATGCTTGGTCATTAGGGAGTGGCAATACTTGAAAGGGATTAGGAAGTATAATCTTGTTGGAGGAAATGTGTCTTTAGGGGTGGGCTTTGGGTTTTCAAATGGTCAAGCCAGGCCCAGTGCCTCTCTTCCTGTTGCCTGTGGGCCTAGAGGTAGAATTCTCAGCTTCTTCTCCAGCACCATGTCTGTCTGTACACCATCATGCTTCCTGCCATGATAACAGACTAAACCTCTGAACTGTGAGCCAGCCCCAATTACATGTCTTTCTTCATAAGAACTGACATGGTCATGGTGTCTCTTCACAGCAATAGAAACCCTAAGACAGAAGTTGGTATCAAGGACAGGGGTATTGCTTTGACAGGCTTGACCACACTTTTATTTGGAGGAATGTGGACTTGGCATTTTGGATTAGGAAAGCCGTGGAATGCTTTAAGCTGGACCTCATGGGTCATACTAGTAGCACCATGGAAGACAGTGGTGCTGAGGGGTATTTGAACTGTGGAGGCCTGTCAGGAACGTTCAGGGGAAAGAATCTTAGTATGTGGCTCAAAGACCATTCTTGTAATATATTGGCAAAGAATGTGGCTGCCTTTGCACTTGTTCAAAAAGTCTGCCTGAAGCTAACTTGAAGAGTTTTAGATTAATGGCATTGGCAAAGGAGATTTCAAAACAGGCTAGAATTGACTGTGTCCTGTGGTTATTAGTGGCCACTCTTATGCAAATCTACAATGAAAAGGAACAAGCCAGTAAGCAGCACCCCTCCATGGCTTCTGCATCAGCTCCTACCTCCAGGTCCCTGCCCTGTTGGAGTCCCTGATCTGACTTCCTTTGATAAGGAACAATGATGAAGAAGTGTAAGCCAAATGAACCCTTTCCTGCCCAACTCACTTTATGGGCTTGGTGTTTCACTGCAGCAATAGTAACCCTAAGGCAGTTGATAATGAAGTAAGGTTCATAATTCACATTATATATAGAATTAAAATATTCACCAAAATCTCCAAATGTACTAGCAGAGAAGAATATCTCAAAGTGCTGACGTGGGAAGGACCATCTAAGCCTGGCCTGTGATCCCACAATCAAAAATGATTAAACTCCAACACAAAAATTGCACACTAAATAGTGATATAGTACATGAAGTTTACAAAAAGTGGAAAACTACAAAAAACTACAAAAGATCAGCATCCGTAAAGCTCAGGATTCACACTATAAATTTTTAAAATTATAATAAAATAATCTGGTGAGATACATTGTGAGGCATGTATACAGGAAAACTCTTTGATCGGGAGGGAAAACAAACATGGGAATTCTATCATATTGTTGACTATGTTGGCAAAGATAGGCGGTCAAAAGGAAAATTGACAAAAATAACTCCTGAAGTTTAAAAACAAAGAAACAAAACCTAACGGCTGGAGAGCGTGTACACACGTGGGTCTGTCTGTACTGACAAACTGTTATTCAAATATCTTTGGCAAAACTCAGGGAAAACAGAGGCACTCGGCGGGGGGGGGGGGGGGTAAAAGCATGCTGAGGAAGGCTGTGTAGAGTTGATTAAGTACAGGACTCCCGGGCCTGTGAAACTAACACTCCAGGCCAAGCCCAACATAGGGCCTGGGTAGCAGAACAGGGTCTGAGGGCACCATGAGTTTATGGTCATGGGGTAAATTAAGCAGGTATCTGGGGGCGGGAGAGATGGCTCAGAGGACCTGTGCTCCATTCCTAGCGCCCACTTGGCAGCTTACAATTAGGTCTAACACACTCTCCTGACCTCCACAGGCACCAGGCACACACACAGTGCACAGATACATACGCAGGCAAAACTACAACATATGCAGAAAACAAAGCAAACGAACTAAGACTGTCTGTGGCTGTGGTCATAACCTCTTTCTTTTGCCATGAACATTTGTGCTTTCTCCCGCTCTTCCTCCTGGTCATACTTGATGATTTTCCACCTTTTCATTAAAACAAACAAACAAAAACTCACTTGGAATCTGATTTTTATTTTTTGTAGTTAACTTTCGCCCTATCAATCTTTTCCTACCCACACTGATTTCTTTTATTCTTAATTATTTGTCTGCATGTGTCTGTGAGACGGTGTACGAGCATGACTGCAGAGGCCCTCAGAAGCCAGAGGCATGGGATCGGATCCCTGGAGCTGAACTTAAAGCAGAGTTAACACGGCCTGGCAGATTGAACTGCATTCCTCTGCAGGAGCAGGGCTCCATGTCAGCCCCCGGTCATCTCCCCAGCCCCCACAGGAAGCAGCACCTTCCACGTGGAGGGATTTAATTGGCTGTTTCCCAGCTTTGGACTCTGGGATGTCCCTGCTTTCTCTCAACGCTGATTTCCTGCTAACTCTGCTTGAGACATAGCCACATGTCACAAGTATGGAATGCAGAGTTCTGTCACTTATATGGAGTAATATGTAATTCTACTTTTTATTACAAATCTTCTTCAAATGAAAAAGGGATTTCACATTTTAAAAGGAGATTTGTTTTTATTTTATATAAATGACTGTTTTCCCTGTGTGTGTGCCTGCTACCCTGGGAAGTCAGAAGAGGGCACTGGCTCCCCAGCAACCGAAGTTACAAGATGGTTGTGGGCCACCATGTAGGTGCTGAGAACCAAATCCTGGTCTCTGAAAGAGCAGTCAGTGCTCTTAGATGCTGCGCTGTCTCTCCAGCGCAAAGCTCACATGTTTTTGAGAATCCAAACATGTGGAATTTGGATGCTATCTTCCCTGTGATTATTGTGATCTATGAATCTACTTTGAGAAACTTTTCCCCATGAATCCTTTCGTAATTGCACCCAAAGCATCTGGAAAGAATGAGCATTTCTATTGGGGAATGCAGGCATCTACTTACTTAGAGTCAAAGTTATTAATATTTTGTTCAAATCTTCCCTGAGCCTATGAGAACCTTTGCTCCATCTGTTACTTACAACAGAGAAGTGCGTGTGTTGGAGGGAGGGGTAGCCTCTCTGACTTTAATCCATTCTTCTGTATTCCTGGCAATTTTTACCTTACAAATTTAGAAGCTGTGTCACATGGTACAAAGTGATTTAGAACTCTGTCTGATACTTTTCTGGTAAGCCACACTGGGTTCATCTTTTTATAATTTTTCAAGAACAGCTCTTTTGGAGGGATTTGGAGAAAGTTAGAGAGGTAATGGATATGATTAAGATACATGGATAAAATGAAGATACATGTATGAAATTGTCAAAAAACACATTAAAATGACAGTTTTAAAAGAAAGGGTTTTTTTTTCCATTTAATGCATTTTTTGTATCATGTACTTGGATGTTAGCATCGCTTAGTTAGCATTTCATGGGTTATTTTTCCCACTACTTTGTCATTTTCATGTCATCTTTTACATGAGCCTAATTTCTTCCATGAAGTCCTTTACGTACTTAGTTCTGTAACATGAAACACAGTCACAGAGCTGCATGCTGTTCTGTGCTATACTTAAAGCATAGATATCATTTTGTGTTTCTGTCACTATCTGTCATTTCTGGAGGAAAAACACACAGCAGGAGTAAACAAAAGGGAACTCAGCCCATCGGCTCAACCTTCAGCTGCCTGGGCAGAGATGAAGGCCTTCTTGAGAAAAACACCCCTGTCTGTCCTATCGGTTATCAGAGTGTTGTAATTTCCCAGGATGCTATGCTACGGGGAAGGAGCCAGGGAAGCCCTGGTGCCCAGCAAAGGAGGAACCTTTTCCCAGGAAGCAACTTCACATCATCTGACAACTTCAGATCCACCTTGCAGAAGAGACTGAAGCAGAAAGGAGGTCAAGGGTGAGGCCACACCCTGGCCAGCACTGCCTAGTACACACACCTCTTGCTCCCTAGTGAAATCTGAGACTCATTTCACACAGAATTTTAGCATGTTTCTCTTCTTAGTGCAAACATAGCTACACTGAATAAACTGCTTTCCTTTGCTTGCCACTCTTACCCGTCTACACTGACTAAACTGCTTTCCCCTGCTCTTCACTGTCACCCATCTCTTCACCTGGCTTGTTGAGGACAGGTGTCTGAGCCTAGCTTGCCAGGGCTTCAGGAGTCCAGGCCTGGACTCTAAAAACAATAACATAACTCCTGATGGCTGCTTTTAAGTTCACCATCTGAACTGAAGAATGCAGTTGGTAAATAAGCTATATACATCCTATATATATATATTGGGAAATTTAAAGATCAACTTCACGTGTGTAAATGTTCATATGGTTTTCAATTTACAGAAATTTGTTTTTCAAAATTAAACACAAAATAGCTTTTTCGTCTTAGGGTCTTAACATTTCTAGAAATTGTAATCCTCCTGGGCGGAAAACAGGGGGGACTTCCCAGAGGAAGGCTGGCCAGCTCCAACAGACATTAAAGGGAATATCCCCTCAGGCCACTGCCTGGAGTTGGGCTTTCCCGAACCTTGGAGTCTGATTATTGGAAGAAGGCTTTGCTCAAAGGGCCCAAGACCAAAGGCGGGGAGTTGAGCACTGAACCTGGGCACAAGAGCTACTCTCCAGGCAGATGACCAGGGGACAGGAGAAGGGGCAGTTCTGCCGCCCACCACTGGCATGTTATAGTCTTTCATTGCTGTGCCGACCCAGGAACACTCTTCTAAACTGTGTCATCTGCATACATGATTCTGGAAGCTTCCCTCTAGCATAGCTGACAAGACGACAAATTAGCTCGTACGAGTTCACCCTGTCGGTTCTAATGGCAGGAAAGTGTTTGCTGTGCAGCTGCTAAGACATATGGGAACAGCATCCTAGATTCCCAAAAGGTAAACATTGCTATGTATCGGAAAATCCTTGTCCCGGAAACAATTGACTCTCCAAGATCTATGAGCACCTGAGCACCGTTAGTTAACATTGGCCCTGGAATTGTTGCCGAGGCCCTCCTTTGTTGCAGTCTATCTTCTGGCCACTAGAGGGAACTAGTTAGCTACATCCCAGTCCCTTCCTCAGCAAGCCCGGACTGGACTTGGTTCAACTAGGGGCTTGACTCCAGCTGGGAAGCGTGACGTCCTGCCTTCCAGATTATATGCCCCATGCTTGTATCTGAACATCCTGTATTTCCACGTAATGTTCTTACAGTAGGAGGTTCTCTTGCGTGGCGAAGAGAGCTCATTTTTAAGTGTTTACATGTTCAAATAGCCTTACCTTTTCCATGTCCAGAAATTCTTCATCTAGCTTCGTTCCTTCGGCACCACTTATTTTTTCACTAAAGAGCTGCAAAAACAAACACAGATGCTTTCACTGTACAAAGATTCTCTACATTTCTTTCACTGAAATGATTAAAACAAAACAAAACAAAAATCTTGTAATTATCTTAGTTCTGGTTGGCATTGTTTTGTTTTTAAACCCTACCCTTTATGGAAACTATCAGGGACCAACAAGATGGCAAAGGCGCTTGCCAGGCAGGCCAGACAACCTGAGTTCTCGTCCCGAAACCCACGTAGAGGTGGAAGGAGAGAACCAACTCCACAAGGTTGTTCCCAGACCCCTGCATGTGCACTGTGACGTCACACACACACACACACACACACACACACCAAATAAAAGACCATGGAAAGATGCACATTTCTCATTTGTTCAAGCTTCGCTGTTCACTAATCCTCCTCAGGTGTCACAAAGTAGTTCTAACGTAAGTGGTGACAAGACAGCTTGGAGCACAAGGGTCGACGAGTTAGTGCCCAAACAGCTGGAAAGTAAGGGAGAGGCGATTACAGCAACCTACAGCCCCTAGGACCACATACAAACCATTACCAAAGCATCAACTGGTAAACTCCCAGGGCTGCTGAAAAAACATCGTGTTTTTTAATATTAGTCTGCAGTGTTAAAGGCAAGTCATTCAAACCTGTTTCCTAGAATACTTGGCATTTGAGCTTGCTTTTTAAGGACAGGCAACATTTCAGGGAAAATGTTGCTAGGGACCTTTTCAGGGAAAAGGTCCGCTAGGATGTGACAATATTTTTAGAAAGGAAATACAGAGGTAGGAGTGGAAAGAGTGGTTTGCTACCGAGCCCAGATCTGTTTCGAGGCTGTGTGTACGTTAGGAGCCGCATCTCTACCCGCTGAATGCTAACTGCAGGGCTGTGCAAACGTGCACACACAAACACAGGCACACACACCACACCAGTGTGAGCGCCAAAAAATGCATCCAGGTAATTAGAGGCCGATGTGTGCACCGAACAGCAAGGAGTTTCATTCCGTTGTAGAGAGTGCTCAAGGAGGAATGGAAGAAAATGAGCTGAGGAGGCAGCAGAGGCCACAGATCACATGACACAACAACAGCAAGTCAGAGGGCATGGCAGAGGCCTCCTCAGACTCCAGGACCAACACAACTGCTCAGAAAAGCCTTTCAGAAGAGCAACTCAGGCCCCAAGGGATTTGGCTTCGTGAACAAGGAGAATAGACTTCAGTAACAAAGTGTGTTAAATCGTTTTCTTTAGAAAGCATTCAGTTGTGATTTATTTATGGCTTTAACGCATTAATATGTATATAAATGTCCAGTAAGCGCTGGGAAAAGGACTGCGGCTCCTGTCTTACGGCACTGTTACCATCATGCACACACTGTCACTGTGGAATGTGGGACAGGGGGCGGGGTTAAACAGAGACAGGGTTTAACTTAAATCAGAGGTGTGATACAGGATTCCCTGAAGAGAGTGGCTACAAAGATGGCCAGCATTCTCCATCCTGCCTGGATCTTACTGCTCCACCACCAGGCTGGCCCTGTGACCAGCTAGAAAGAGGCCTGTGTGCTACCACCCACTTTCCTGAAACCCTCTTGCCTGTGAACAAGCCCTGCTAGGCAGAGAAGTGAGCAGTGACCGTCACAGACGGCCGCTCGCGACCCACAGTTGAGGAAGCATGCGCAAGAGCCTCATCCACTGGCCACACCCAAGCCCAGGAAGGACGTCCAATAATCCGTGTTGCTTTAAGCCACTGAGCCTGAGGTCCTCAAGAGAATCCACCTGCCAGTTCTCACTGCTCAGGCTGAGGACAGAGGTCAAACAGGCTCACCCCAGGCCTTAATATGAGACATGACCCTCAAAGAAACACTGGAGACTATGCTCCAGGCCAAACGCAGTGAGGAGCCAAATCACCCAGCGCACCGTTCCTAACTCTTAGAGGTGATACCCTGAGCCTCTCCTGGGAGTTACACCTTCTCTGGCCTTCTATCTTGCTGCCATGGGAGACGGTAAAAATGGCTGCCAAGCTGTGTAGCTCTGCCCATTGAGAAACAGGATTTCCACCTGCCACTTGCTTTAGTCAACAAAACGGATTGTACACTGTGCTGTGACTACTGATCTCTGTTCCTTCTCTGAGATCCACAAGGTCTGGGCTAGCTTGTCAGAGAGTGAAAGGCCGCATGGGGAGAGCAGCCATGGTAGGCCATCACCGATGGTCTACAGGGCCGGTGTGCTGTACAGTAAAAGCTGACTGGCTTAGCTAGCTACAATCTCCTCCTTTGCCGGAACTAGAGAAGCCCACCCAGAGATCCTGATCCTGAAATATCTGTTGGAGAGCCACCTACTATTGAGAATTAGCTCAGAAACCTTCCATCTATAAGCTGCCTTGGTCATAGCGTTCTATGCCAGCAACAGGGAAATAACTAATACAACCATTCACAATACGCCCTGTGTACAGCACCTGCTGGGAGCCAAGCACAGTGACAAACACACCTGGGATATAAGCATTCTAAAGTTGGGTCAGCCAGCTAGCCGCTCTGTGAGGAAACTCTCCTGGACTCTCAAGGTTCACACTCACGCGAGCGTCACTCCTACTCAAGGTGACCATATAAATTCCAAGGTAGTGCATTCCCTACGTTCTGGGTAAACATAGATGACACCGTAAATATCAAAAACAAAACCAGGAAGAAAAAAAGCATTGATTAGAATCAGAGTAAGTCTCTTCCTGGTCCTGAAAAAGAGTTCAGCCCCAGCCTGCTGATCGCAGCTAGGACCCCAGGCCCTGGGCATCTTGTCTGCGTACAAGGGAAGAGGTGGCAGCAGAGACTCCACTGAATGAAGAGACCTAAGAGTGTGCGCAGAGTGAGAGCGTGGACTCCTGCTCTGCCTAAGGGCTGCAAGCAGAAAGGAAATGGGGGCTGGAAACGGAATTCAGGTGCAAACCGTATCTGACGCAGCCCCACCTCTGTGGATTAGGTCAGGTACCCACAGCATTGCCATGGGAGAGAAGCTGCAGCTCTATGTGAGGGGCTTGAGAATATGGGGGTGGGGGAGCACACCTGCTGGCTACCTAGAACACAGAGGGCTTTACAGGTCAGAGGACACTTTCCCAACATTATCCTCGATCTAAATTCTGAGTAAATATACACCAAGAGAGAGAGCCAGAAGGATTATCCAAAATAGCATGAATTCATTGCTAACAAAAGAGCTTTGTGGACCAAGGTGCTAGAAGCCTTACATTTGCTTGGGCCAAAACTGTTAGGTGGGGGAAAACTTCAATTAAAAAAAAATCACACAAGATAACAGAACTTTAAAGACCTATCTTTAAAAATTAGAAGTCTTAAAAGAAATAAAGTCTGGTTGTGAAAATCTCAATAAATGAGACTGTCTCACTAGGTCAGGGAGAACAGGCTGAGTGCCCTTTATCACTTCAAGTCTGCCATCCTGGAAGGCCCGGCAGGAACTCAGGATGGGAACCTGCAGGCAGGAACTGAGGCAGAGAGTGGAGGAGTGCTGCTTACCAGCTTGTCCCTCATGGCTTGCTCAGCCTCCTTTCTCATACACCTCGGGACCAGCCGTGGCACCACCCGCAGTGGGCTATACTCTCACATGTCAATCATTACTCAAGAAAGTGCCCACAGACTCAACGACAGGCCATTCTGATGGAGGCATTTTCTCAAAGGAGGTGCCCTCTTCCCCAGTAATCCCTTGTATCAATCTGACAAAAAAAAAAAAAAAAAAAAAAAAAAGACTAACCAGACACAACTCCAGATTGGGCATAATCAGATCAAAACTAGTAAACAAAGTAGTTAAGGGACTTATCAAAAACAAAAATATAAACAAACAAAAGACAGAGCTCTATTTTCTAACCAAAGAGCTAGTCAAGACAGAGTAAGTGAAAGGCTCCAAGATGAAAGGCACCCCCCCCCAGGAGGCATCAAAAATCCATACTTAAGAATAGGGGGTTTTGGTCCTGCAGTGGTGGCATGTACCTTTAATACAGCACTAGGGAGGCAGAGACAGGTGGATCTGAGTTCGAGACCAGCTTGATCTATGGAGCAAGTTCCAGGACAGAAAGGGCTACACAGAGAATTTCTGTCTCAAAAAGACAAAACAAAACAACAAACAAACAAACAAACAAAAAACCCCACAAAAAACGAACAGGGTTTTTTTTCCTATTACAAAAATATACAAGTCCTTAATTTTGAAAATATACTCAAGTTACTAAGAAAGATGAATATTAATCAATATCAAGATCTGAAAAGTAAAATATCCAAGACTATTGTGGGGTGGGGCCGGTAGGGGCGCAGACAAGCAATGCAGCCGTAAGTGGACAGCAGATCTCCTCAGCCGTAAGTGGACAGCAGATCTCCTCAGCAGCAGCAGCTTCAGGAGAGCAGGGAGGGTGGGCTTCAAAGAACTCAGAATGGGGAAAGCCTCAGCTTCTCTTTAAGGTGAGAACAAAATAAAGACGTCCAGGCACCAGGGTCACTGTTGAAAACTAAGGGTACAATGCTATTTCAGGGAAATAAAAATAGAACCAAGAGGGAAAGTGTGGTATACACGAAGCAGGTGAGGAATGGAAGTGGACAAACTCTTGTGAAAAAGCACTCACTGAAAACAAGCAAGGAGAATCTAATGTCTGTGTTCATTCAAACCCCAAGTGATCATAAGGCAAGGACAGGGTAGAGCTGGGGGTGTGTCAGCATCCAAAGCTTGTGCTTTGAGCAGGTGTGACATGGCCACCACTTTAGACAATGGCAGAATGACATCTGAGAAGCATCTCGTCCTATAATCACAGTTAACTGGAAACGCACAAAGCTATAAAGGAACAGCGCTGTGTGTGTTTTAATACAGGGTCCTTACCAATACATGGGTGAAGACCCAATGCATTTCAAGCCAGAGGAAACTAAGGAAAGGTGTGCAGATGGGAGTAGGGAATGGCCAATAGAAACCACAAAATAAGATTCTTACGGTAACTCCCAGTAGGCCAACAATAATTAAAGGTGTATTAAAGGATCAAGTAATAGAAGGGAT